AAAAAACAATGATTCTGAACTCTTTGTTGTTTCTTTTATATGCTGCCCCTTCCTGGTTAAAAAACATGCCATCGATCAAATATAATCATTCAGAGAAATAAACACGTTTTCATTTCAGAAATGTTACAGTGACGTGTCGTTAGTGGCGCTGCAGTCACGGAGAACAGTCACGAGGAACACAATGTGCTGTGGCCGCTGGGTGAGGTCGGAACCTATTCGTGGACGCACTGGGAAGAGAGTTGTTTACAAACAACAAAAGTGTCAGAAAAACACGAAATCGTTTCCGAAAATTAGCAAATGTAGCACATCGTTCATTTCCTCAACAGTATGGAGGATCATAACGGTCTTTAGCGAATACAAATGACATCCTGAGTGATATTTTCAGTGGTAAGTGTCGCCGTATGTCCTTTTAGTTTCGTTTATCTGGCAGATGGACTAAAGATTGTCTGGCTAAAACAGTGAGTTAACTAAAATGTAATAAGAGGGATCTAACCGCACTAAGCTAACAGCTAGTGCCATGCTACTCGCTTCATTTACAGCTGTTGCAGAACTGTATGTGTGAAAGTTTCCATCCAGGTGTTCAAAAGACATCTAAGGAAATGGGACCAGATATCTCGCACTTAAATGAACTTTGACATGAACAACATAAACATAAAGTGTGGTTCACAATAACATTGAGAATAGGTTGCCTGACAAGCTTAGTAGATGTTGGTATCAGCTTCTAATAGCCATTAAAATAACCCTCAGTGACTATACAGCAGGTGTATCAGAAGCCATTAATATGAATATTGAAATGACACAGTGTTGTGTACACTATGGTTGCAACAAAATATGATATCTTATTATCACCATTATCTTCATTATTGATGAATCTGTCAACTATTTTCAATGAAGTGATTAATTGTTAGTCACAGTTCTCTGGTTTCGTTTCTCCATAGATTTTGTCATGCAAGTAATACTTTATTACTCTTTTCACCGAAGGATGTTGGCAAGAAAAAAAAGGATTGGTCTTATGGAGTTGCCAATTTTAGATGTGTGGGCATCCTCGCATGTGTCACATAGTTTATTCATTTGATTTATGCATTTATTAAAATCATGCTCTGCTGGTATTTACAGTGTATGTGGGGGCAGTGATATAAAGCTGAGCAGGTGCAGTCTCTAGGTTACAAAGAGGTGTTGGCTGTGGGCAGTCGGCAGGACACATGGCAGAGGACGGCAACAAGCTGACACTGAGGCGCCTGGAGGCACCAATCCACAAGTTCATTAAAGTGGCTCTACCCACGGACCTGGAGAGGCTGCAGAAACACCACAATAACATACTGAAGGTGACGGCTGAAATCTGGCTGGACACATGATCGCACCCTCTCATCCACACTCTTACTTGCGGTCCACAGATGGATAACAGATAGTTTCTCTTTCATTTTTCACAGTACCAACAAAGCCAGCAATGGGACCGGCTTCATCTGGAGCATATTAATGCCAGCAGAACTGTTCAGGTATAAGATAACACTCTGTAAGCTGATGCATCGTTGTGTGTGTGTGTTATATTACCCGAGTCAGAGCCTGGCAGTGAATGTGAGCATTGATTGGTTGATGATGTGACTCACTGCCTCTCAAGATTCCTCAACAAGCACGACCCTGCAACTGTATTGTACATATTTGTCTCAAACTGTCAGGACATTCAGAAGCCTCAGTTCTGGAGAAACTTGACATTCCCTGATTTGTGGCGGTCTAAAGTGAAAACCAGTGGCAAGACACCGAGTGGTGTGTTTATCCAGTTACGTATATGAGTGAAGGAGGGAACTGTCCACTGGTTTACAGCCTTCTGGAACTGATGTATGACCAGAGAGACTGAGCCCTGCCACACCACAATGAACAAAGGGAATATTGCTTGACAAAAAACGTTCTAAACATTCTGTGTTTACTCAACACAAGGTCCAACGTACTTGCTGTACCCCCCATATATGACCCCTCTCTAAAGTCATATGTCATATATCTAAAACCACCTTTATCACAACTGAGTGACTCCATCTGAGGAGGAGGGCAAAGAGATGTGGTTGAAGGCAATAGAATAAATCAGTCAAATCTGTGAATATGGAATAAGTTTGTCCACAAAAAACACACGCAAACATGTGAAATACATGAAAAGACTGGATCAGTTAACAACTAAAGGAACTTTCTGTATAGAAATGCACTCTTGAAAATCAGGGCAAGGAAAGAGCTGTTCCCAAACCTCAAATGGACCGTCTCTTGTGTGTGTGTGTGTGTGTGTGTGTGTGTGTGTGTGTGTGTGTGTGTAAGTACTTGCGGCCTTGTTCACATGGTGGGTGTGAAATGTCTCAGAGGGTGTTGTTGCCTGGAAGCCGCCATGTCTCTGAAGGTGAAATAACTCCAAACAGGCACAGCCCATCCTCTCACCATTACCCTGCAAAACTCCAAGGAGACACACAGAGTGCTTTACCATGTCTTCATGGTGGTAATCCACAGTAGGGGTTAGCCCACTCTGCTTTAGATGTGTGTGTGTGTGTGTGTGTGTGTGTGTGTGTGTGTGTGCTTATATTCTATAGATAGATAGAATATCTGCTACTGAGGATGTGTTTGGTTGATCTGTGTGTGTTTGAGCATCCTACGCTCACAGTTAATTTGCAGGCTGACCGGTGCCTGCCCTGACTGTCTCTGTGTTAATTAGTGTGTTTTTCAGTTTTATGCACACGAGGACGAGTGTATGCATGTATGTTTATTCATGTTGTGTAATTAGCCGAATGTGTTATCGGCAGCGTGTTGACCCCCTGAGCCCCGGTCGGGCTGCGGCCTGGAGGGCTGATGGCTGGGATGTAATCCTCCTGTCGCCCTCAGGGCACGGTGGGATGAGGGGCCTTGTGGTCCCCAGCCTCATATTTGAACCGTATTAAGCCCACACCCCACAGCATCTGGGGTGTGGTGTGTATGGTGTTTTTGCAGTGAGGGCTCGATGTTACCACAGGTTTTCTGCATCCCAGTGACATGCAGTTCATTCATTGTTTGTCTGTCTGTCCCTCTCTGACAATGTTCTGACATCACGCCGCTTCTTTTCTGTCTCCCTGCAGCAGTTGAGAGCTAACGTCAGAGAGATGGAGAAGCTGTGCAAACGGGTTCGTGCCGAAGACGCTGCCGCTTTGGAAGCGCTCGTCAGGCCAGTCAGAGATCGGGCATCAGCCGCCGTACGAGACTTCCTGTGTTTGCACTCTAACCCCGTGCCTCAGCCGGCGCCAGCAACACCACCTGCCGCTCAGCCATCCAGCTGTGTGTCCAGCAGTTGCCACGCTGATGACAATATGTGCGAGCAGCCAGTATCTAGCAGGCAAATTCAGCTACACCTCCCAGAAATCCCTGCTGATCAGAGTGCGGTTGAGTCCTGGGACAACCTGGAAGAGGTATGAGGGCTGGACCCTAACATGCAGTCTGGATATCATATTCGATTTGACACTTAAATTCATAGTAAAGTAATGTTCAAACTAAACTGAACATTTTCAAAGTAAATGATGTTGCTTTACTGTTGTTATAGACCCTTCTTTTTGATACATGGGTTCAAGGTGTGCAGCGTATTCTTGGTATGCAAAACAAGGTTTTAGTTAAAGTGAGCTTTACTTCCTCCTGTAAAAGTAAAAAATAAAAAAGGTCCAAGGATTGGATTGGACAGGCACTTTTAATTATATTATATATTGTATTACATTTGTCTTTCTCTGTCTCGTTCATGTGATTCTAAACAAAGGAGTTGAATGTATTATTTCAGCCTAAAATACACATTAATATTCAGTTAATGTGACTTTCAACGTGACATACTGTTGCTGTAGATCTGCGTGATAAGCATCACAACGAAATAAATGTGGGGATTTTGTTCTCTCTCAGGGTCTGAAGGCACTGAGTGGTTTGGTGACGGAATTTTCTCTCATCGTCCATGTGAGTACGAACACACAACTCTACTGCGTACTTCCTGGCTGCTACATTCACGTTCCTCTATCTACATGTGTGCAAAGCTACCCCCTGTGAACGAGAACAATGTCACGGAGGCACTTTGCCTCTAGCGTTTCCAGGAAGTGGTGCGTATTTGACCGTGTGCGCTTGTGTTGCCTGGTAAAGCTCCTCTGAGAGGAGGTTACACAGATTGGCTCAGGGCTACCGCTGGGGCCCCAGAGGCCCTTCACCAAGGCAGGAGGAGAGATTGAGGAGTGGGTGAGGGCGAGAGGGAGGATTTGGGGGAGGACGCCGGGTTGTCCACAGGGGGAGAGGTGGGGAACAATGGCTACATCGGAGCAGGTGGAGAACAGACGGCTCAGATTATCACTCTATCCTCAGGGATAGAAAAGGAGAAGCAGGGAGGCCGAGCGAAGGAGAGATTAACAGTGAAAGAGAAAGAGACAGAGAGTGAAGATGTAGTTAGGTTAAAAAAAAAAAAAAGTGTGGGGGGAGCGTTGGGGGGGGGGGGGGGGGGGGGGGGGGCGGGGGGGGCGCAGAGAGCATAGACATGTTGTTGTGGTGTCTCAAGGGTGAAAGACACCGTTAGGGGAGTAATATTCCAGCTCTCAGCCACAGTGGAAATACTGAGTGAGTGTGTGGTTGTGTCTGTACATGCGTCATGTTAGTGGCTGTTCCGGTGTCTGCGTCCTCACCGGTATGTTTGTTCTTTGTGTGTCTTCTAGGGACGCACAATTATGAGCTCAGCTTGCGATTGTACTTTATAAAACTGGCAAATACAGTCTTAAAATTACTGAATGACAATTGCTTATTTAGTTTGATAAGAGGCTTGAAAAAAAGTTAATATTTTCAATTTATTGAAATAAATCACTGTAGCTTTAAAACAGAGGATATTATAATATAAAATAAAACAAAAACCTCTTAAATGATTTAAGTTTTACCAAAACTGGAATAGATCGGTTTTCCGTACATGCACACATCAATTAATCAAAAGATTATTATCAGCACAAACTTCCACCGTAGATAATTATTCAATTTGGCAGCTTTTAAACTTCTCATATTAGAAGTCCATGAGATCATGAGCTAAGATTAAATAAGAAATGTGACAAATAAAAACAAAGTCCATTTAATGGCGTTTTAAATCAAATTATACAATTTTCCTCAGCAGATGTCCAGTTGTCATGGATTTGTAGGTGTTAAAATATCTCTTCAACTGTTGAATGGACCTTGAAATGAGACCAACTAATGTTTTAAGAGTCAAGAATACACTTTCATTTTTACTTGTTCCCCTTTATTTCCACCAAAACTCCTGAACATATTCAAAATGTATGACCACATTATTGGAAACGGCTGCGTTTGTCATCTTCTTTCTTTTTTCTATTATTATTTTTTATTGTCATATAATGTCATCTTAGGCCTTTATTAGATAACAGGAAGCGAAGGAGAGAGAGATGCAACAAAGGTACCTGACCGACATTGAAGCGGGGACGTTGGGCTCCCTGCTTCAGTCACTTTGTTCTCTCGAACGGGAGGATTGACGGCTCTTTCCTGTTTCATATAACAGCAAACTGAATGTCTTCGGATTTTGGGGCTGTTGGCCAAATAAGACCAAACATGTGAAGATGGCACCTTGGACTGCGGGAAATTACAATGGGCATGTTTCACAGTTTTATCGAGAAAATAATTAGCAGAGGAATTAATAATGAAAACAATTGTTAGTTGCAGCTCAATCATCATCTTGGTGAAACTGCTGCTTTTAAGGGAGAAACAGAAGTGCTCTAGTTGTTGTTTGGTCACTGTGTCCATCCAGCCCTCACATGGAGAGAGACAGCTGCCTCTCTGAATATTTCATGAGATCTACACAATACCACACACACACACACACACTATGACCCCCCCTCAGTGAAATCTCCTTTGAATATACCTACAACGTCCACACACACTCATTCACGCCCTTCCTGTGTTACCTTGTGCCGGAGAACAGAATTTGGAGAGATAAAAGAAAGCTTAATACACAACAGGTGGTAGCTCTTTCACATGTGTGTGTGTATCTGTAGGTGAATGTGCTTACTTGAGTGTGTGTGTGTGTGTTAATATGTGTTTGTGTGTGCATCAGTCCCAGCAGGAGAAGATTGACAGCATAGAGGACAACGTCAACACAGCCGCTGCCAACGTGGAGGAGGGGACCAAGAGCCTGGGGAAGGTGTGTGTGTGTGTGTGTGTGTGTGTGTGTGTGTGTGTGTGTGTGTGTGTGTGTGTGTGTGTGTGTGTGTGTCCTGATGATCTGATGCATGTGTGTGTGTGTTTGTGTAGTGTTTGGGAGATGGGGAGATCGATGGCACTTTGCCTCCCAGCCATTCCACAGCATTTGTCCCTATTGATCCATTCGAATACGGAGGAAAGCTGCAATTAAGGAAATAGAGAGAGGACAGGGATCGAGAGGAGTGGAGGGGAGGAAGCGTGATAGAGAGGTAGGATGAGAGGGGTGACAAGAGAGGGTCTGTGCATTTGTGTGTGTGTGTAGCATTAAGGAGGGGTTTGAATGAGTGTTTAATAGTTTGTCAGGAGCAGCATTTGGCCTTCCAAAATCAATTCAGGACACGACACACTGAGTGTTACTCCGAAGGACAACTCAGTGCCCTCCTTCACACGCACTACGCACTTGAAATGTTGAACTTTTTGTCTGTAATACTCAGAATGAATCACCTGTTTTTGTTAATCTACAACACACACACAAGTGCAAACTGATTTCTACCAAGGATTGTGACATTTTCTAATTGTCCAACTGTCCTCAGTGTCCATGAGCATCAGCACACATGGAAATAAAACGTGGATTAAACCATCTGCTAAATGAATGTTATTTAATTTCAGTTAGGTTTCATCTTAAGTTAAGTGGTGTGAGCATCATTCCATTCACCTACATTGTCTTTGGATGGCAGCAGGAATTTCAGACTGATCAAAATAAGCATACAAAACCAAAATTGTATAGCCGGATACCAATAAAAGGTATGTGAGAAAATCTGATTTTAAATTAAATGTAAGTACAACGACCCTTTAACAGTTTGAACTTTAGTCCCAACATTTCTGAAATAAATGCTACAAATAATAAAATATTCTTTTGAAATGGTTCTTTTAAATTGAATTCACCCAGTTGGCAGCGCAAGCAAAGGTTGCCCTCTCTGTGACGTTGCTGGTAGATATAGTAGGCTGCACATTAGACGGGGGGTGTGTGGAGAGATAAAGCAGATGAGAGGGGTGTCAGATGTTTTAACGTGTTTGAAAGCTTGTAATCTGTCATCAGGTCAAACCGCATTACACACACACACACACACACACACACACACACTTCCTCCTGCCTCTACAACCTGTGCAGAGTCCTTTTAACTCAGATGAAATTAAAATTCCCTCAACTGCCACAAGCAATGCTCGCTTTTGAACTAGATTAATTTAACGGTGAAGTGTTAATCAAGTGTGTGTGTGTGTGTGTGTGTGTGTGTGTGTGTGTGTGTGTCATAAATTGTCATCAGCAAAGAGCACCTTCCAGTCTGATGATAACATCCGTAATAACACACAGGCCACATCTCTCTGATTTCTCCTAAATGAATATAATGAAAACTCTTTGATGCAGCAATGGAAATGTTGATTTATATTTACACACGCAGGCTTGTTGGTCGATGTGTGATCATCAAAGGATAGACACGTATCGCAGACTGTCTAATGACTCAAAAGGCGCGTGCATGTGGATGTTAAATTAAACAGGAACATATTTCTTCTTCCTGTCTCTCTCTAGGCGGTTGGCTACAAGTTGATGGTGTTGCCGGTTGCTGGCGCGTTGCTGGGCGGTGTGTTAGGAGGTCCACTCGGCCTGCTGGCTGGGTTCAAAGTCGCAGGGGTGGCTGCGGCTCTGGGAGGCGGGGCCCTGGGGTTTGCAGGCGGCAACCTGGTCCAGAAACACCGCAAAGCCCGAGTGGATCTACAGATGAAACAACTGACGGCACCGCCACCAGAACCAGAGTCAAACAAGGACAAATGACCCGACAGTTCTGGTTACCTAATCACAAGGCTCCAGGGTTGACTGACCAATCAGAAGCACACACTAGAACGAACAAACGGTGTCACAATGCCTTAAAAAGACTCAACATAACACGTCATCAGGCTTTGCCGTCGACATGCACTGTTGTACAACAGTTCTGCGTTAACAGCTTGATGTTCGGGTGTGAGTGGTTTGTCTGTGAGGACGTTCATCTCAGTTTATACACACAACTGACTTTTTAATTCTGAAAGCAGTTGTTTTCACTACATATTTGAGTGTGTGTCTATGTCAGCATGACATCACATCTCTTAACTAAAAAAGAAATATTTGTCACCAAATAAATTAATTTAACACCTCAAACATTCTGTCAGATGCCATCACTAAAGCCTCAGTAATACTTTACGCAGGGATGGTGTGACGTCACTTTGGCAGTGTGAACCGGTGCATGAATCATGCCGTTTATTAGGACATCGTTTACTCCTCGAGCTAGCATCTTTTTTTTTTCATATTTGTCACCAGTGATTGCGTCTGTGATCATGCCTCAATATTCCTTTATGCAGAAAATAATATCCCAACGTGAACAGCTGCACTGATGATTACAATGATATATGGAGACAAAAAAATGTGGTGGTATGTTCAATTAAAGTGGATAGGCTTCAATGTTTGCATAAATTATACTGTTTATAGATACTGACCTGCTTTTGCAACGTGCGAGAGCAAAACTGCACATAAAGCACCAAAGTGCCACTGTCCAGGTCACTTCAGGGACTGGAGTGGAACAACCTGCCATGTATTGATTGTACTGATGCAAATAAAACATTTTTCAATGTCATTCGTTGGATAAATATCAGAGGTCAGAGGGACCTGACATACAAAGCATCAGACAACACAGTATTCTGTAAAATGTTTTTTAATTTACCTTTTCATTATTTTTTTACTCTTCTTCCCCTCTGAGATGACTGGTTTTAGAAATGGCCTCACGCTCCCCCCCTGTTGCTCTTCTGTATGTGGGCTGATATGTCACTATGCAGGCATCTGGTGGCCTCTATGGAAGGGCAGGGATGCACAGTACAAACGTAGCAATGGTTCCCCACGCTCTTAATCTGGATTAATTCACACTCAAGAGGATCTCAGGGAGCTGGACTTGTACCAAAACCTCAAAGACATATAAAGAGACAAAACCAGTTTTAAGAGAAGTTGTATAAAGTGGCAGACTGTAAATTTCCACCGTTCATCGCATGGGTTTCCCCCTCTTGTCTCGGCTTTTTAAAGCACTGGGAAGGACGCAGTCTTTATCTCCCCTGGCATGACGACACATTTGACAAGAGGTAACAGCAAAAAAACAGCCATTTCATAAATTCAGAATAATTTGAAATTACATCGTTGCAAAAAAATGGTTTTCCTCCATTTGATTCCTGGGAGCACAACTCGGAGGTGTTACGGCAAATACTGCGCCTTTAAAAAGGTATCGAGCCCCCTTTGACGTTGCATGTTTTACAGTAGTGGAGGTAATCAGCATTTTAGCCACTGAACGGAAAAATAAGACGTTCAGATTTCTTGGGTACAAAATTGAAAACAAAATCCCAATTGCACAAGTTTTCATGTCCTTCAAGACGTAAAAGAGGCACCTTTGCCAACAGTTACAGCCTTAAGTCGACTTCAATAGGACTGTAACAGTTTTACACTAATTATTTCACATTCTTCTTTTAAATGCCGTGTAGATTTGGCTTTATGTTTGGGGTTGTGGATAAATATCTATAGCTGCACAAATATAACCTTCCACCGCCACACGCCGCCCAGGGCCGGCTGCCGAGAAGCCTCCACACAGCATGATGCTGCCACCACCAGGCTTCATGGTAGGGAGGATGTGCTTCTTGGTGTTTTGCAGTTTTAAGCTTTACTAAACACAGAATTTAGTATCATGGCCAGAAGGCTCATTCGCTTTGACATTTTAGTATTTTCTGTTAATCGTAGAGAAATCCTAATTACATCCACTGTGATTCAAAACAGTGACGCATAATAAGGTCCGAGGGGGCAATACATTTTATAAGTACTGTAAGAGACGTGATCTAGAACCATTTAGTACCAGGGAGAGAAGGGGTGCATCTCAATAGGCTGGAGTAGCTTGGTCTCTTTATCTTCTGTGACAAGTCATGGTTTGAAGTTGTGTGACCACTACCAAGCATTTCAAATTGTAGTTTTCTATTCCTTCAGAATGTGTGTGGAGAAGATATGGAGATAAAGCTACTTCAAACAGGTATATTGTTATAACTTACAAATTTACAAATGAACTAAACTAGAGTTGGTCATATTGAGATGCAGTCATGAGGTTAGAGAGACTAAGCAACAAGCATCTCCCGTCAGACAGGCTGAACTGGACTACCCACAGATAAGAACCGTTACGACTGGAGTGAGGGAACTGCTGTTAGTTTTCACTACAAAAAGCCGGAATAAAGAAAGGAATAAAATAAAGAAAACTCTGCATTTAATTTAGACCAAAAATGAGACTCCATGCAGCACAAACATATTTACAAGCTCCAAACAAATCAAAGTAAAAACACTTCTTTTGATGTCCTATTGCCCCTAACACCCGCCCACACACGATTTCTTCTTTACACCCCCCGCCCCCTTCCTTTTGATCCAAAATAAAAACTGTACGTGAAAGAGTTATGAAAATATAGGTTATTCCAACATGGTTGTGTCGTGGACTGAACTCCTTCTGTTCTTGTTTTTCCTCCTCCTTCTTCTTTCCCTTCATTCTCCTCCTCTTCTCTTTATCTCTCTTCAGTAAGGGTGTTGGGTGTTGCTGTTCTGTCCCGTTGCCTGTCCCAACCCTACCCCCCCCCCCACCCTGACCCTGGGGCATGGCATTGAGTCACAGGATCACTGGAAGGCTGCTGAGGTCACAGCTCGTCACGGTCCCGACTGAGGATGGTGTAGCGAGTCTCGCTGGGCGCCAGCTTCTGGAATGAGCTTTCTGGAGGGCTGCTGGCCACTTCCCCTCCCGTCTCCTCCTGAGGGTAAAAGTCAGAACAAACAGTGTTCACGTGACGCAGTAAAACAAACTTTCAGTGGCTTCCATGCTGGTGTGTGCTGACGCTGCTATCTGACCTGTCCTGGCGTACTGTCCGTGGGATCAGGACCGTGGTGAAACTCTCGGTGTAGCTTTCCAGAGTGAAGGTCCAGCACAAACTGTCTCAGCTTGCCAGGGATACTAGAAAAAAGAAACACATTGGACATGCAACAACATGTTTTTCTGGGAGGCTTGTTCATGCAAGTGGTTGTAAAAACAAGTCCGATTTAAAAAAAAAAAACGTTTGATGTTTTCAAAATGTTTTGATAATTTCAATCTGATCGGTGCCATTTAATCATTAGCATATTTGACCCATGAGCAGTTTCATGAAGGAACTATTTTCTTTCTACACCCGCCAGCTGTATCACCACGCAGAAGGAAGTGTGCATCTACTGATGGACGAGCGGCTCGTGACAGCGAGATGTAAACATGAATGCCGTCCTCCTCGGCTGAGCTGTAATGTAAGCTAGCTCAGTGGTGCTAGGTGAGCTAGCAGTATCGAGTGTAAATGCACGCTTTCTTCGGCGCTGTGATGCGGTCGGCGGGTGTAGTCTGGTAGAAAGAAAACAGTTCCTACATGAAACCGAACACAGCCTGTGGATTATCTTGAGTAAACGAGTCAGGATTTCTGCTGTAGAGTTTTTCAAAACTAGACATTTTCCTAAACAGCTACTAAGATGTTGAAGTCGTAATGCCAAATCAAGCCAATAAAATCAAAACAAATTTAAAAGCCATGATGATGATACGGTGTGACCTGAATATTAAGTTATCTATCTTTATGTTAGTAGATTTCTGAAACACAATTCATTCAGATTGAGGCATTAGGATTCTTAGGTGTTTTAGTTGTTTCCCCTTATGTAGAGATTCATAACTCATACGTGGCTCTCAATAGCCTGTTTGACAAAGGCATTCCAACACACAAAGTTCAGAAATATAGTTGATGTGAGAGTAAATGGCTTGTGGCAGCAGCAGAGGACCTCGGCCCCTGCGGACGTGTCGTGAAGCAGCATTAATCCATATCAAGTGTGCTTATTAACGACAGGTCGTGAGCTGTTGTCATATCACAGAGGCGGAGCAGCTCCCCAGTCAACGCTAACCCCGTGTGTCAGAGCAGCATGCAGACACACACACACACACACACACACACACACACACACACACACACACACACGCGTGTGTATA